TGTATACATGATATGATATATTATGATGTAATGAGATATAATTCATTACTATAATATATATATATATATATATATATATATATATATATATATATATAATAGGTTTAACGAGATAATTGTTATTTAAATAGTTAATTTATTCTTATTTTCTTATTTATATAAGTAAACTGCTATAATCATATTTATTATACGAGATACAATTATAGGAAGAAATTTGTACACGTATTTATAGTATTTTAAAGGTGACATTGAAAGTCATAACTTTCAATGTCGGTTCTAATAAACCGACGTTGAAAGTATGATTTTTTAAATTAATAATTTTTATTTATTTACAACCCTTTTATCCCCTTTATTTATCTAGGGGTCTCCGAGAATTGTCATTAGCGGGATTCAAACCCAGTACCTTAGAGTTGGAAGCCGATACTCCAACCACTAAACTACTAGAATTTTCTCGATAATAACTTACAAATAAATTATATTTATATACAAATAAATATATATCCGTGTAAATATATAAATATATAAATACAAATATATTTATATATTTTGATATATTTATATAGTTATATATTTATATGTTGGATGTGAGGGCACACTCGAAAGTGAAAGTGTGTGTCGAGTGGGTTTTCAAAATTTGATGCTAAATTTGTGAGCAGATATCTTTATATGAGTTTGTAAGTTAATGACAGAATATAATCTTTTTAATTTTATTTATATAATGATATAAAATAATTTGGGAAACACATCATTTGCTCTCAAGCGAAAAATACCAATTTTCGCTCAAGCGATGTTTGAGTGAGTGAATTTCCATGAGCTTTAACATATTTTCACTCAAGCAAGAGTCAATCTCACTTTCACCCTCGATCGAAAAATACCAATATAATTTATTTGTAAGTTATTATCAAAAAATTGTAGTAGTTTAGTGGTTGAGATGTTAACTTTCAACTCTAAAATACTGGGTTCAAATGTTGTTAGTGACAATTCATTGACTTAAGTGAATTTTTGGTTGAAAACAAAATAAAAATACTTTGCAGAACATATATACAAATAAATATATATTTACATAGATATATATTTATTTGTATATAAATATAATTTATTTGAAAGTTATTATCAGAAAATTATAATAGTTTAGTGGTTAGAGTAATAATTTTCAATTCTAAAATCTTGAGTTTGAATCCTGCCAGACGTGGAAAGTACTTTCTACGTCGGTTGACTAAAACCAACCGACGTAGAATGTGTTTAATATTCAACTTTCAACGCTCGGTTCATCCGGAACCGACAGCTATAACCGACGTTAAATGACGACGTAGAAAGTATATTTTGTAGTAGTGATAATATAATTCTAGTGGATATTTTGTTTATCAAATATTTGTTAAAAATTATATACTTTTTATTTATATATAATTAATATAAATTATTTCTCAACATCAATTGTTTTGTATTATGTCACGTAAAATATTTAGATTTTTTTCATAATTTTATCTAAAAATTTAGATTAATAGAGAAAAATGAAAGTAAACAAATTTAGTTTACGTATTGACAAATACATACACGTAAACACGTAGTCACACAAATACATTATTTCTTGTTGTGTTAAGATTTTTAGGATTGATAGTTGAGACTTTGCAATATTATTATTATTTTTTATATGTATTTGTGTTATAAATAAAAGATGAACGTATTCCATAGAACATGCTAATAAAAGATACTTAGAGTTATCTTTACGAACACATATATAATGTAAATAGTCCACTGTTCTTATAATATAAGACTTTCTTGTTAGATGGAAAATTATAACAATTATATAACATTTTGTTTTAGATAAAGGTATTTTTATTTTTTTACGTATATAATTTTTAAAGTGAATTGAATTAAGAATAAAATAAAGTGTTAGTGACTGATTTTATTAGGATTAAATATTAGTTCCTTTGGCAACCAAATTGTCGGCGCCATGGTATATCCATTTTTTATTCCGTCACTAAAGTTGTACTATAATGTAATATGAACTCTTCTCATTCTCTCACAATATTTTAAAAGAAATTAACTAATAAGTGGTTTAAAGTCACAATAGAAATTAAAACCACACTTAATTCACAGTATCGAATAATATATATATATATATATATATATATATATATTACTCATTAAAAATCAAAATTAAAAATAAATAAATAAATAAGTACTTGTATTATTATTATTATAAATTTTAAAATTTATACATGATTTTCTTTGTTGATAAATTTTTAATAAAGGGTTGTTATTTTTAATGTTACGTAGAATATATAATTTGAATTTTGGGTACTATGAGATAATTCTACGATATATGAGACACTCCTTTTATAAAACAAAATAATGATTTCATGAATTTTAAGTAGTTAATATCGGATAACAATTTTTTAAAGACAAAATCTTATAAAATATATTTTTAAAATAAACAATACTTCAAATATAATAATAAATTACTTTAAATATAATAATAAATTGTAAGTATATTATCATAACAAATAACAAAATATGATATTGATACATTAGTTATCAATGTAAAATTATTAAAATCACTTAAAGGAATAGCAAAATGTTAAAATTTAAACATATCCGTGTAATTAAGAGAAGAACTATGAACTTTTTCTTCATTTTCGAATAATTCAAACGTAAATGTGGCATATTTAATGGATTGTATGCACCAATCAGATTTATATTAATTGCATGAAAAAGTGAACCGTGTAATTTTTGAAAATGTTTCATTTTTTTATTAAAACATCAAGTAATTAATCTGAACCATTCAAATGTAAATTGAGTATTATTTAGTTAAATAATTAATATAATGATAGGAATACTGTGAATGGAAATAACATATATTGATAATAAACGTAAAATTCTTAATTTCAATCCAAAATTCATGCTGTTTAGAAAATAATAGATCTAGGATATTTAATAAAAACTTAATTTTGATCCATTTTTTTATTTTTTTGATTAATTTCCAATATTTTTGTTTATCGATTTAAACAACCCTAATTAAAAGAAGGGTACAAAGAATGAAATAGGAATCATTTTACCCTTAAAATGATAATGATTATTTTTATTACATTCTTACTTATTGTGTCAGGAAAAGAGAGAAAAAAGTAATTATTATGATAGCTATTCTAAAAAAATATTATTTTATAATAAGATGTTATGTTTAGAAAACAGTATACAAAATTAAATTAGAAAAGAAAAACAATTATTTTATAACAAAAATAAGATAAACAATAATATTTTAATAATCATAAAACACTTTAATTAAATCAACAATAAATATGTTTTTTTTTTTCGCTTCACAAGTTGAAACCCATAACTACTTTTAATGATCCTCTTCAACATGCAAAGTGTTGTCGCTGTTGCTAAAGTTGGACAGAATTCGGTGCAGGTTCGTTTTCCAGTTTCTCTCGAGTCCCTTACCTGATCACACAACAGCATATTTCTTTTTGCATGGGGACATGATTATTTTAGGCTAAGTGTAAACCTTGGTCTTTTTGTTTTCTTATGTTTTATATTTTTGTTTTTACATGAGCTTGTTAATGGTGATAGGATGAACTTGTGAACAAGTTTACAGCTTTAAAAATATATCCATAAAATGAAAATTTCGAAAAAAAGTTAATTAATGCAACTAACATTTTATGTTTATCTTTTTCATTAATAATAAAATATTATGCACTAGTATATCAATGTATTATTAAATAAGGATCGTTCAACTTTTAGGGAAAAAGTTAGAATCTTATTTCATTCCTCGTAGTGGGTAGATCAATTGCCTTTATTTGTATTAAAATGTTAGAATGAAAAGGATTGTTCTCTTCTACTTATTCGTCAATCCAAACTTGCTTTCATTAGTACTTTTCTCAAGAGCAAGAAAGTGGATGTACGAAACCGGATTTAATAGGAAGATCCAACCACAAACACTAATAGACACAAATTTTCTAACAAACGATATAAAATCATTAGAAACTTGTTTATGAAAATGAACTTAAAAAAAAAAAAAAAAAAATAAATATATATATATATATATATATATATATATATATAATTTATAACCATTTCCAACTCTCAATTCTTTAACCTTTCAAAACTCCACTTTAGGTTTAATTTAAAAAGAATTGATTTAGCTCAATCTACAATTGACTTGTAGGTTAAAAGAGTTTATCTCAAATTAAACATCATTTTTTGAAAAAAAGAAAAGAGATTTTTTTAATGGGCCATGGTTGTGACCCTGTGGGTTGAATCGTGTTAGATTATAGATATGGTTCCACTTTTATTAATGTTTTATTAATGATAATAGTACTGAAAGTTTTCAACTCACGTTACTGGCTCTTTATTTTTCATTGAACAAATATCACAAAGAAAAGAATTGATCTCGTGTACTAATAACTGGTTTCTCAAACCTTTCTTCCTTGGGGCGCTTTTCTTCTAGTTAGCTTTGGTTGATTTGGTTATTACTTTGGCAATTTCCTCATAAAACTCAGGTTGTAAATTAAATTTTTGTTTAGGAGTCAAAAGGGTAAGGGAATGCGGAATTAGTTAACCGGAGGAAACCCACCTGATGTTACTAGCATCTTACAGCTGCAGTTAGATAGATAGAGATACCTTCCCTTATAATGTGGCTTTCCCATGTTAGGTACCCTTCCTTTCTTCTAGAGAACCTCCACTCTACAAAAGAAGACCCTTCTCACTCAGTTCACGTTTCTCACCTTTTTTGTGCCTGCAGCATTTACTTAAATGCTGAACCTTCAAGAGGGTTTTCCTTCTGGACCAAGTAGGAATTTCTAGCTATTTTTCACAAAAATGGATGGTCTCATTTTTATGGGATTCCAGATCTGAGTCTTATATCCTTTTCACAGTAATGGGTGCTAAAAAATATCTATAAAGTTTGTGTCTTCAGTCCTTCTTTGTATGTATGTGTATATAATAACTATACATGTGCTTGTAGTGAGTGTTTTTTGAGTGAAGTGTGAATCTGGGTGGAAATGGCTCCTAGCTTTGATTTTTCCAACAGGTGGGTGAAGGACACTCAGAAGGGTACCCCGGTGGTGGTGACAATGGAGAACCCCACTTTCTCTGTTGTAGAGATTAATGGTGCTGATGCTGCATTCAGGCCAGTGGAGAAAACCCGTGGCAAGAATGCTAAGCAAGTCACATGGTTCTTGTTTCTCAAGGCTTACCATGCTATTGGCTGTGTATCTTGGTTAGCCACAGTTATGTGGTCTCTGCTGGGAGCTATAAGGAAGAGGTTGATTCATAGGGAGCGTGTGGTCTTGGAGAGTGAGAAGTTGGAGAAAGGGATGCTGTTTAGGGTCATCAAGGTGTTCCTCGTTAGTTCTTTGGTGGTTCTGGTGGTTGAGGTGGTGGCTTACTTGCAAGGTTGGCATTTTGGGAATCCCACTTTGCATATTCCTCGTACCTCGGATTTGAAAGGATTGATGCACTTGGTTTATGTTTCTTGGCTGAGGTTTCGTGCTGAGTACATTGCTCCACCAATACAGGCACTTTCAAAGTTTTGCGTTGTGCTGTTCCTTATACAATCAGTGGACCGAATGTTGCTTTGCTTTGGGTGCTTTTGGATAAAGCTCAAGAAGATTAAGCCAAAGATTGATGAGGATCCCCTCAAGGTTGATGATATTGAAGGATCTGCATGTAATCATCCCATGGTTCTGGTTCAAATTCCCATGTGTAACGAGAAAGAGGTAAGGATTCAGACTTTTGTTTCTTCTGGTCCCAAATATGGTAACTTCAGCTGTTGCTAAATTTTGTGTAGCAGTTTCAATTTATTAATTTTAGTTGGTTAGATATTGATGGGACTAGGTTACATGATTTTTAGTCCTATGAAAAGGAGCGTGGGAGATTAGGAAGGACATTGTAGAAAATTAGTGTAAGAGATCTCGTGATAAAATTAGTGTAAGAATTTAGATTTTTTAACTAAACTTGATGGCGTCATGTAATCCATGTAACCATCTTCCCTGAAATAGATAAGACTATTCTTGTATTTATTTACTCAAATAAATTTGGAAAAATTTATCAGAAGCTATATCACTTGTTACACAAATGCCATCTTGCCCACAACAATCTAAAAATCCCTCATGAACTATCCGAGACCTTCTCTAATTAGAAACAAAAAAATGCTTTTAAGCCAACAACAACTATGAATGAGCTCCATATTTTCAGTTCCTGTAATACACAGCATTCTTAATAATTGACCATACAAGTTTTTTCTTAACAGTTTTGGGGTGGTTTGTACTTTGTAGTATTGGGGAATTTGTCAAGTATTGGTGACTCTAATAAGCAATCAGTGACCACATGATTTTCACTGTATAGAATTTTAATCCTATGGCTGTCTATGATGATTTTATGCAGGTGTATGATCAGTCTATTTCTGCAGTATGCCAAATTGATTGGCCAAGGGACCGTTTACTGATACAAGTACTTGATGATTCTGATGATGAGAGCATACAGTGGTTAATTAAGGCCGAGGTCACAAAATGGAGCCAAAAGGGAATCAATATAATCTACAGACATCGCGTAGTCCGGACCGGATATAAAGCTGGGAATCTCAAGTCTGCAATGAGCTGTGACTATGTGAAAGACTATGAATTTGTTGCGATTTTCGATGCAGATTTCCAGCCAAATCCTGATTTTCTTAAGCAAACTGTGCCATATTTCAAGGTTAAAAAGATAACAGAAAACATATTCAACAAGGATTCTTGGTAAATCTGTTTAGCATATTAACATATGCCTCTTTTATCACAGGACAATCCTGAATTAGGCCTTGTCCAAGCTCGATGGGCTTTTGTGAATAAGGATGAGAACTTGTTGACACGTCTCCAAAACATTAATTTATGCTTCCATTTTGAGGTAGAACAGCAGGTCAATGGTGCATTTCTCAATTTTTTTGGATTTAATGGAACTGCTGGTGTTTGGAGAATCAAGGCCTTGGAAGAATCCGGGGGCTGGCTCGAGAGGACAACTGTAGAAGATATGGATATTGCTGTCCGTGCTCATCTCAATGGTTGGAAATTCATCTTTGTAAATGATGTAAAGGTAACCATAGATAAGAATTGTTTGTCCATTGATGTCTCAATTCTTTGCAGTACCTACTGTAGTGCTCCTAGAATAGTATTCTTATACATGCTAATATGACTGGTTGCTTCCACTCAACAACTCTTGAATTCTGCAAATTTGTAATTCTCAGGTCCTCTGTGAAGTTCCTGAGTCCTATGAAGCTTATAGGAAGCAGCAGCACCGGTGGCATTCTGGTCCAATGCAACTTTTCAGATTGTGTCTTCCAGCAATTTTGAGATCTAAGGCATGTCCGGTGCTCACCTAAATGTACTAAGGGTATTTTAGATAAACTTTTTCTTCTCTTATAGGGAGAAAAATGAGAACCAAAAATGAAATGTGCTTTCCATAAACTAAAATTAGCTTATGCACAAGTTAGAATACGCCAGAGATTTTTTACAGATTAGTTTATGCATAAGCTGATTTTAACTAATGAAAAACATCATTTTATCTTTTCTTATTTTTCTTTACTAAGAGTGATTATGAAGAAGTTGTTAGGATCGAGCGCTTACCACTAGGCCAAAAGCTATAGCCATTAGTCAGAGCGCAACTCTTTTTATTTTAACGGCCCAAGCGCCACGATTCAATTGTGACTCGGCCCACCTGACCTTCGTCACAGGACAATTGATGCTACCTGCAACAACGTGACCTTGGCTCTGATACCAATTGTTAGAAACAAGACAATAATAAAGGAAAGAATGAAGGAGAGAAAAATAAACGACACAAGAATTTTAACGTGGTTCGGCTAAAATATGTATGCCTACGTCCACGACTACACTAGGAAGTAATTTTTATTTCTGTGTGTATCTCAAACTTTACATAGGGTTGCTTATATAACAAAATAGAGAACCTCATCTCACAATCCTAATCGATGTGGGACTAAATCAAGCACCATAATACTAACAATTCTCCCACTTGGAGTTTGATTTACGTTACCACCTAGTGTAGTGCCTTCATCATCAATTTGCTCGAAGGCCGGTTGAGGCAATGCAAAGCCTCAACTTAGTTGTTGTAACAGTCTTGGTCAACATATCGACGGGATTCTCTCGCACCTGGAATCTTCAACAAACTCAAGTCTCCATCATTTATCGGGTTTCGATAAAATGATACTTCAATTCAATGTGCTTACATCCGGAATGAAGGATTGGATTTTTAGCAAGACAAATAGCACTTTGACTCGTCACTAAACAACGGAGAACCATCTTGTTCTCTTCCTAATTCTTTTAGAAGGTTCTTCAACCATATCATCTCCTTCGCCGCTTCCGAGATAGCTACATACTCGCTTCAGTGGTTGAGAGAGAGACCCTTCCTTGAAGTTTAGACTTCCAACTGATAGCTGTACCACCCAATGTAAAAATATAACCTGTTGTGCTCTTTCTACCGTCAAGATCACCTCCCAAGTCTGCATCAGAAAACCCCTGTAAAATGAGATTACTTCTCTTGAAAGACAAATGCATCTTTGAAGTGCCTTTCAAATATCTGAATATCCACTTCACTCCTTCCCAATGCTCCTTTCCGGGATTCGATCCTAACAATTGGTATCAGAGCCAAGGTCACGAGTTCGATTCCTGGTGGGCAATTGTTGAGGGGGAGATTGTTGCAGGTTGCACAATTGTCCCGTGGCAGAGGCCGGGTGGGCCAAGTCACAATCCAAGAGTGGGATACCTTGTAGGACAATTGCTGAGGGGGAGATTGTTGCAGGTAGCATCAATTGTCCTGTGACGAAGGTCAGGTGGGCCGAGTCACAATTGAATCGTGGCGCTTGGGCTGTTAAAATAAAAAGAGTTGCGCTCTGACTAATGGCTATAGCTTTTGGCCTAGTGGTAAGCGCTCGATCCTAACAGAAGTTTGTTCAAACATACCCTAAATATAATGATGATAAGTGAAAACAAATTCTCGTAACTTGCAACTACTGCTTAAAATATCATAATATGCACAACCTAAAGGGCCTGTGAATTCTGTTTAACTGCAGATATCAGCGTGGAAGAAAGGGAATTTAATACTGCTATTCTTTCTGTTGAGAAAACTCATTCTTCCCTTTTACTCCTTCACCTTATTTTGCATAATTCTTCCTATAACCATGTTTGTCCCGGAGGCTGAGCTTCCTCTATGGGTGATCTGCTATGTTCCTGTAGCTATGTCATTCCTCAACATTCTTCCTGCCCCAAAATCTTTTCCTTTTATAGTTCCATACCTTCTTTTTGAAAACACCATGTCTGTCACCAAATTCAATGCCATGGTGTCTGGACTCTTCCAGTTGGGTAGTTCTTATGAATGGATTGTCACAAAGAAGGCTGGCAGGTCATCAGAGTCTGATTTAATGGAGGCCTCAGAAAGGGAGGCTAAATCATATATGGAACAGCAAAAGATCCATAGAGGAGCTTCTGACAGTGTACTTGTTGAATCATACCAATGTAAGGAACACAAAGAAACAAGTGGCACACCTGTTAAGAAAGCCAACAAAATATACAAGAAAGAGTTGACTTTGGCATTCCTTCTTCTCACAGCTTCAGTCAGGAGTTTGTTGTCTGCACAAGGAGTTCACTTTTACTATCTTCTTTTCCAAGGGATCACTTTCCTCCTTGTTGGTCTTGATCTAATTGGGGAACAGATGAGGTAGTTTTGGTTCAAAACAAAGAGGGAGAATAATAAATGGAAAATAAGCTTCATTTCTGGCTGCAAAACAAAGGCAATGTTGTCAAACAAAGTTTTCTCTTTTATTCATACCTCTCAATTATGTTCTCACACCACCATTCATCCAAAATTTTAAATTTAGGGACCTGGTCATTATATTTAATTCTTGCTCATAGATAAGACTGGAAATTTTTCAGTTTTGTAAGTTGTGTTATAGTTAGTGTCTATTTTTTTTTTTTATATATATATTTGGTTATTTAACAATTCCAAAACTTGATACTTCTTGAACCATAGGTGCCTTCCATTTGGTAGAGGGTATCTTGCTGTAAATTCATTCTGTTTATCTAATGACAAATAAATTTTAATTCCCCCTTCTCACACTTTGTGAATTGGTTTCATTTATGAGTTTGTTTGAACTTAAGCTGTTTGTATATAAATTTTCACAAGTTAAATTGAATTTTAAGTATAGTTTATTTAATTTTTAACCTAATCAGCTTAGCTTTTATTTTTAACCATTTTAAACATCTTATCCATTCCTTGTCAATACAAAAGTCACATCATTAATGGGAGTATAACATTACTTTAGTTTAATATATTTGCATAAAAAAAATTAGAAAAAATGCAACACAACCTTTTTGTTGTTTATATAATGCAATCAAATATTTTGATCTCCAAGTTTATATGCACGAGTGAAGGGTCTATAAACCATAATGATGTGGGTAGGAAAATAGAAGAGAGAATGTCACATGGTTTGATACTTAAGAAGCTTTACATCACTTCCTATACCATGCTTGTATTGATTCAATTTCCTAATTACCTTCAAAGGATATTTAAGACATGATGTTCTTCATAAGGGAAAATAAACACATTCACCATATCTTATAATCTATTCCTCATTTTAAAGATAAATCATTTTTATGTGTTTCCTTATTATGTATATGTTCCTTGTGATTTTCATATTAAATCAATATGTATTTTTTTTTCTAATTTTTAGGAGTCTTTAAATTTAAATACATGTACTTTTACTTATTTTACTAGCCTTTTAAAACAAAATAAAATATATTTTAAAATTATATTTTTTACACTTAATGTATATTTTCTCGTGTCTTATAGCAAGATTTTTTTTTTAAGATCGTAACAATAGAGAAATAAATCACTGTTTAAATAATATTTTTTCTAGTTTTTAGGAGTTTTTAAATTTAATGTCAAATGCATGTATTTTTTATATTTTATCAAGTTTTTAGTGCAAAATTTTTCCTAAATGTTTTTCAAGATTATTACTTTTACATTTTGTTTACATTTTCTCTTATCTTACTTATTAAAATATACTACCTTTGTAAACTAGAATACAAGTAAGGTTATTAGAGAAAAAAAAAGTTAGAGCATTTATAATTAGAGTTTATTATGATACTTAAATAAAATATTAATTGTTAGACAAATGATATATAGAGGGGTAAATAGATATACAAATTAAAATAGATGTCAAATTAAAAATTTATTTTAAGACATCCAATAATTTATTAATTCAATTTTAATTATTAGATAAAATATAGATAAAGCGGAAGTGATATAATCAGATAGATAAAGGGAAAGATTCAAGCGTGGAGATGTAGGATGCAGTCCTGTTAAAGAGATAAAGACAATAGAAAATCACACAGTAATTTATACTGGTTCGAGTATATCTACCCCTATATACAGTTCTCAGTCAACTCTAATCATAAGAGTGACTCCCAATTCACTATCTTTAAAATTCAGTTTACAAATTACAATCAACTCAGCAGAGGAACCAGTAAAAAATAAACTAATTAAAAAGACAATCACCTCCTTAGAAACCCACTAAGGATGAACACCTTCCTAGAATCCCACTAGGGATGAACACCTCCTCTGAACAAATCAAAGGATGAAAAACACCTAATTTGCCACTAACATACAAAGGATGAACACCTCCCTAGAATCACACTAGGGATGAACACCTCCTCGAACAAATCAAAAGGATGAAAACACCTCTTTAGAATCCTACTAAGGATGAACACCTCTCTAAACAAATCAAAGGGATGACCAATTTCTACATAGGAAACCCAAAGAAATATAACAGAATAACAACAATCACTTAAACCCTAAACATAGATTTTAACATCAACTTCCTAAGCCCTAGAAAAAGGGATTAAGGCAATAAAATAACAGCAATCACCTAAACCCACAAAGGATGAAAACAATAAAATAAGAACAGTCACACCTAGGTAATGGAGACAACAAATTGTAGAAGTCTGTAGAATGTCAACGTCCAAGAACAAATGTGATTAACAATGAAAGTGCAGAAGGCAGTAGAGAAGAGAATTTTCTCAGAAGGTGTAAAATATCTCTGTTGCCTTGCTTAAAATTCTTTTCTTAAAACTGAATGAATGTAAAATTGTATTTTCGAATTCTGTAATTGTGTATTTTTTATTTTTCATCAAAACTCATTTAAATAGAAAAATAATATCAGAAAATAGTTCTTGGTCATTAATAATTTCGTAGAGAAAAATTAGGATGTATTCAAAAATATTTATTCATCAAAATGGATATATTTTTCAAATATGAACTGTCATAATCAATTATGTTACTAGTATAATCAATTATGACAAAGAGAAAATCGTTTTTCCATTTCTGATGTATCATAATTGATTATGACAGTGAAAAATGTCATGTTACGAAATTTTATCACACTTATGCTTTGGAGGCTTATGCATAATACCACTTCATCAACTTGTACCTCTATATCCAGTATTCTAAGACTCTATCTAGTCTTCAGAAATCATCTTGGGTTTGCTTGAATCTTGAATGTTGTTGACTTGAATTATCATCAAAATCATCTCTAGGGAATGTAAGGACATGTTTCACATTGTCATCAATCTCTCCCTCATTGCTTTCAATCTCCCCCTTTTTTATGATGATTGTTAAGTGGTAAAAAGTTGATATAATTATGCCTTGAATTGTTATGAAACCACTTAACTTATGTTAATTCTAATATATTTTTCTCCCAATATAGGATGAATTCGAGAATACCTTGATACAAGAGTAAGGAGCATAATTGTCAGCATAATTGGAGTAAAATTAAAAGAAAAAAGGGTGCTTAAGCGAATGAATGATGCGAGGCCCGACCCAAATTCTCTTCTAAAAAGATAAGTTGTGTTTTGAGAAAAGGAGGTAGTCTTGGAGGAGAGGAGGCATGACTACTGTTAGGGTTTTGTCTAATCTTCATCAATTCTTCACTTCGTCATCAATTGAAGCATTGTAATGGCCAACATGAGTGGCTAACTTCATTCTCTTAGGATTCGGTGCACTTCCTTTTAACTCTTTTGTATCATGGTGATATTTTGAGATCTTAATATATGCTTTGATGTTGTTATTCTTATCCTTTATGCTTTGGAATGATTTATTCTCGATTGTTTGAGGTATGATTGGAAAATAGATCTTGAACCCTAGATCACGGTAAGAATATTTGTTACGTTAATTGTCAGGAATGGAATGAATGTATCAATTGCTTAACACCCTAACCCTAATGCTGGAAAATCTGTTAATTGTGTGAGGAATCAACATTTATTAGGTTTTCTTATGAATTTCATGTGTGAGGAATCAACATGGATGATTTGAGTAGGTGACATCAACATTGTTAGGTTAATTGATGTTCTTAATTGACATAGTCATTACAAAAGAGGGATAAGGAAGGAAGTCAATCCTAAGTACCTTTAATTGATATTTTCTCAACAATTTACAGTTCTTTGTCATTTAATTTCAATTCAACTCTTATTTGCAAAACTCAATCTGTTTTAATCTACTTAGTAAGCATAATTGAAAATTTCCATTGAAACTGTTTCTCGTGGGATCGACTTTTATTTAATCGAAATACTATACTGCAATTGATAATTTTGGTACGCTTGCCAATAATTCAACAAGTATTTCTAGCGTCGTTGCCGGGGAATGGTGTTCTTTGAGAATTCTTTGTTTAACTTATTGAGTATTTTATTTTTATTATTATTATTATTATTATCATTATCATTATTATCATTATTATTATTATTATCATTATTATTATTATTATCATTATTATTATTATCATTATTATTATTATTATTATTATCATTATTATCATTATTATTATTATTATCATTATTATTATTATTATCATTATTATCATTATTATTATCATTATCATTATTATTATTATCATTATTACTATTACTATTACTATTATTATCATTATCACTATTAATATTACTATTACTATTATTAATATTATTATTATTTATTTTTAGTTTGTGCTAATATTTGCTTGAGTTACTCTTTTGATTTATGCGTTTAAGAGGACAACTATATTCAGAGCAGTTAGAATTTAATCCAGAGATTGAAAAAAATAGTTCGAAGGAACCGGGGTAGAAGAAGAAGGGAAACTCAAGAACAAGCCACAAGAGAATTTGTTAATTCTTCTTTCACACTTGATTTACTAGACCCAATTATAGAAGATATGGCAGAAGAAGGAGAAAATCTGAATCCAAATCCAGATCCCAATATAAATCTAAATCAAAACCCAAATGCAAATCCACCTAGAAGAACTCTTAGAAATTGTGCTATGCAGCAAGGTCCAAGACATTTTTCCAGCATTGTCATTCCGGATGATCATACATTGCAGATGAATCCATCTTTCTTAAGCTTGATTAGTGCTCATCAATTCACTGGATTGGCTCATGAAGACACTTATATTCATTTGTCTACTTTTTATGAGTTGATTGGTACCATGGGATTTAGAACAATAAATCTTGAATATGCATATTTGATATTATTTCCTTTTTCTTTGGCAGGTAGGGCAAAGGAATAGCTGAAAGCACATCCTAATAAGAGTCTGACTAATTGGAGTAGTGTAGAAGGGAAGTTTCTGAATAGATTTTTCTCACCATCCCGTTACATCAAAGCAAAATCTGACATCACTTCTTTCAAACAAGGAGCAGA